CGCCCCATTCGTCCCAACGTCCAGGGAGTCCATTTAGTAATCCGTCCATGTCTGCATCACAGAGCTCATGTTTACTAAAAGGTCAGAGAGTGAGGCTGAAATGTCCATGTGAAACTCCTGTGTTGTGATGGATCTGTGCAAGTTAAAGAATTGGTTGTCTGACAGAGATGATTGAGGGCTTTAAGCAGTGAACGAAAGAGAACTGGGGGAGGAAAATGATTGCATAGGTAGAAATAAAAACTGATTGAATGGAGAAAAAAACATGGCGTCAGCAAATCAAGCACCCTATGCAAATTTCTGCAAGCATTTTTTATTAATTTCCCCACACGTCTTTCAAACATCGAGCATTAAAAAAAGGGTCAGTTGTTAGAGGAGTCAGTCGAAATGATCAATATAGACTATTAGTTGTGTTTCCATCAACATTTTTTGTGCACATTTTGACTTGTTTCGTTAAAAACAGTTAACTAAAACGGCAAAATTCAAAATAATTTCTTCAATTTGGCAGCAAAAAAAACCCTGTTTTTACGCTCGCTTGAGGTGGTTTTTGGCTTTTCCGAAAAAGAGGAAGATGGAAGCACATTTGTAGAATAAGTTCTGACATAATGAACTTTCTCATTAACTGGTGCCTTACCAGAGGCACGAAACGTGGAGAAATTTCTAATCTCCTCCAGAACAGAGGAGAGGACTATGCATTTTTCTGAGATGTCATCTTGTTTATTATATCCATGAAAACTGATAAACCCAGGTGGATTCGCTCCAAACCAGTAGATTTCTTCTATTTTCTTTTTTGCAAAATTTTAAAATTCCACTTCAAATTTGCATGACAATCCAATGGAAACATAGCTGGAGGCGCATGCGACTGACCAAAGGCGAAGAACGAAAGAGTCAGATCTGGTGAGAGCTGGAAATAATGACAGGGTTTCACTCTGTTGCAAAACAACAGGCTTCGTCAAGTATTTATTGTGCACAGACCGAATCAAAGCACTCAGGGGCGTGACTCCGATCAATTGTTGTTCGATATGTTGATTAGAGAAACTCTGATTATTTTTGGCACTTGGAGTTAATTTGGAGTATTTCTGCTACCAGTACAAAACCTAAAACTTGAGATGAATTGCTCACCTCAGATCCAACTGTAGCAAAAATACAAAAGAAGTCTGCACAGTGCCCGTCTCCACTAATGGCTTATTTATTGCACCTTGGTGCAATAAATATAGCTTGCACCAAGGTGCAATAAAGAAGCCATTAGAGGATTCCTGCAGTGTACCTTCAGAAAGCGTTTTTTGCTACAGTGTGTCAGTGGCTGATTCAATGTGCCACACGGTTAACTAAAGAACCTTTTAGCTCTTAAGTTTTGTACCTGTGTTGTGGTGGTGCTTGACTTATGAGACCTGGAGCTAACATTCATGCTGGTCATCTGATTACTTCTAGACTGAACTACATCCGGGATGACAATGCTCCGAACATTTGAAATGTATTTTTCCTGCGTGTTTAGAAGTTTGAATGCAATCCTTCCTGAGACGAAGATGGACGAACAGATCCTTCCGTTGTCTTTCATTGTGGGCGTGACGCATTTAGAGATAGCATTTTGCATTGAGGCCAAAAAGATATTGTGGTTCCATCTGACCAGAGCAGCTTCCAGTACGTGTTTGCAGTGTCTCCTAAACACTGAAAGGAACCAGCATGGTTGGAAACTCCTGCTGCTGCAGTAACATCAGGGTGTGTGTCGTTTATAACCTACAGTATCAATCATAATAGAGAGGGACGACCCTTACACAAGTTCACAAGTAAGAACAATGACTGATGAGCTGGAAAATCCCATTTTATATTTTCATGTCAGAAAAATACAATCGTAGCGTTTGATAAGGCTAACAACACGGCAGTGCGCTAAGATGCTAACATCTTATAAACCAACTCCAACGTCTTATTAGCCAATACTAACATCTTAGCATCAGGCAAAGATGCTAACATCTTAGCACTGGGCTAAGATTTTAGCCGTAGCTCGCTGCTTGGGGCCAGAACTTAACAGCTCCTCAGAGCGACCCATTCTGCTCTGTGGCTGGAAAACTGGCTTCTGGAAGGTGAGTAGTTTCATCACGTATCTTGTGAAAATGAGAACCGATTTCAAAAGTTTGGCTCAACCACACAGAATTCATAAGAAATTAGACTTTCTTCTTTCAGGTAGTGCTTTTTTTGTTGCCTCTCTTTCATGAAGGCCAGATTTGTGACTAACCCTGACCTTAAGCAGCTCCTTCAGAGTAATAATAGTCTGCTTGTCTTCTCAGCTGGATTAACAGCATAGCTCTGTCCTGAAGTGCTGTGGAGGTGTACCATGCTTAATGGCAGATTTAAGAGAGTTCTGCGAGATGTCGAAAAGTTTCTGATATTGTTTTATAAACTAATTCTTCCTCCCTGACCTGTCTGCTGTGTTCCTGCATGAGGCTGTTTGTCCTCTAATCTTCTATAACAAACCTCTGAGACTTTCGAACAACGGTAGGATTTATACTGGAATAAAATTACACATAGGCAAATTTTAAAAATCTTTCCTTCCCCTCTACGATTGCACACTACTTTGTGTTTTTCTGTCACATAAATCACTTTTAAAATATATTAAAGTGCGTGGATTTAACTTGACTAAGTAAAAAAGATAAAGTGTAATTCAGAGCTATCTCCTGTTGTATCTAATAGTTTAGGGCAAAACTGAAACAAGTGAATTGCCCCAAAGGTTTTCTACAGGAATAGACAGTTTTTATACTGCATTTAATTCTTTAATTTTCAGGAATTGTGTTAGTTTCTAAACCCAAAATATCCCGATTTTATTTTAATGAATGTTTAATGTGATTGTGGAGGGAGATCCCATCTGCACTTGAAAAACAATTAGGGGAAAGAGAGCAGGACTGATGTAAACCTACTGAGGTCAGCTTGGTTTCATTTCACTCTGGGGAGGTTTCCGCGAAGCAACAGCAGGATTTTCCTTCGTTATAAAGTCCAAACATAAAAAAATATAAAAACCCAGAACATCAGGGCGCTGGAGCTCGCACCACCTGATTAATCTTGCAGCGTGGAAGCTATAAAGTTTGTTTGTGCTTGTGAAGCTGAAAGAGCTGAGCTACACCGCAGGAGAGAGAGAAAGTAAGAGACCAAGAGGGAGCAAGAAGGAAGAGGTGGAGAGTTTGAGGCCTGGGTCAAGTCCTCAAAGTGGAGGACTGTTCTAGTTAAAGATCTTTAAATAGGGTTATTCACAAGAATGCTTTGCTCTCATCTGTCTCTGCTCTTGTTGAGGCACCATGGGATAAACTGGGGGCCAGGCGTCATGGTAAAATGGGTTGAGTTGGAAACACTGAAAAAAAACACAAAATCTCACCGAGTATTTTAGCAAACCTGAAGTAAGACGAAGCTGATTTAATTTGTAGACGCTGTGAAACATTTGAAGGTGGTTTAAAGTCCACCTGCTGACTTGAAAACGCAGTTTTAAGTCAATAACACTAAAAGCATCATAACTGCGTCATGTAGTCAACAGTTGTGAAAGCAAATAACAGACGTTACATTTTGTCAACACACATCAAATATGCTGGTCAACGTTTCATTTATTATGACTCAAAAGTAACAGTTTGGTTTTTAGCCTTGATTTAAAGAAACTCAGTGTTTCAGCAGTTCTGCGGTTTTCTGGAAGTTTGTTCCAGATTCGTGGTGCATAAAAGCTGAATGCTGCTATTTTTTAACCATATTCCTTAATACATGGGATTTAAAATATACTAGTTCCAATAGGGGGAATATTTTAGTTACAACATGGAAAAAATGTCTTGTTATAAGTTAAAAAATCTCCCTTTGAAACTAGAACTTTTTTCCATACTAAACATTAAATCAAACTGAAATGTACTTTTAAATGAGTTTTGTCTTATTTCCAGATACTACACTGCAAAAACATAAATTCTTACCAAGTATTTTTGGTCTAGTACCTAGAATATCTTGCACTAGGTACTAGTGCTTGCTGGAAACAAGCACTTTCCAGCAAGATGTCGATGCTTGTTAAGTAAATAATTCCTTAATATTGATGAAAAGTTCTGTTGGCAGATAAAGTCATTTACAACATGGGAAAATGTCTTGTTATAAGTTAAATAATCTACCAATGGAAGAAGTACTTGACCAGCAGTATTAATGTATTATTTACTTACAACAAGCTCCTTTATCTTAGTAAAAAGTTACTTGTAAAATACTAAACTTGAAATAAGACAAAACTAAGATTCCTGGACTAGAAACTAGACTAAAAATACTTGGTAAAATTTTGGTATTTTTGCAGTAAAACTTGGTAAAATTTTGTGTTTTTCCAGCATTGTCATTGCTGAAGTGTCTGGTCAGGATTGATCAACTTTATTCATCAGTGAATCCTGATAAAGGAGGACAAAATTCATAAAAACCATCACGGTGCGTGTAGCAGGATAGGTGAAAGCAGTGGGGTAACGAATCCGCTGCGCCAGGATCCATGCATGTGTTCAGTGGACTCATTTAACTTCCATCTGAATTCTTCCTGATTTCCCAGTGCAGCTGATTACCTCCAATTCAGCCGACTACCGGGGGAAAGGGATTCATTGTGGAACAATGAGCTGAGACTACGGGTCTTTGGATCGGGGAATGTCAGCTAAATGATCTCCAGTGGACGAAAGCTTAAATGGAAGCTAAATGTGACGCGAAGCACTCCTCTATCTGATGCTCATTACCCGCCTCTCCATTCCCCCGGAGACCTGGCTCAGCTTCACACTGAGCACTTTCCTGCCAGGAGGAGGGTGATTACAACATTTTGCTTGACAAAAAAGCTCCCCTCCCCCTCGCCTCTCGCGTCGTTTCCTGTTTTCTCCCTCATCCTTTTCTTCTCCGACTGGTCAACCCTGTTTCTGCTCCCTCTTTCCTGCGTCTTCTCAGGCACTGCGGGCGATTTCCTACAGCGGCTGATTTGCCTCTTTGTCCTGCCCATGATTACAACACTTAGACACAAGCAGGCCGTGAATGGTATGAGAGAATTTTTATTCTCTGTCAGACAATAGCGAACAAGGGCGAATTATGAATTATGAATCATGCATCAGCGTGTAATTCAGGCGACAACAGCAACAACAACACAAAGGAGACACGGGAATCAGAAGCCGTTTAAAAGTAAATCACGGGAGAGGCCTGAGAGCAGCAAGCAGATGGGGCGATCATTGATGTGCGCACAGGGTACCATCCGTCTAGGGAGGAGCCGAGGCCTACGCATTCCTCTGCCAAGGCTCGATGTACTCGAGGCCCAGATGGTCAAAGATGTCCTTTTCAGTCGCTGCTGTCAGGAACTCCTTCTAGAGACAGGACAAGCAAACACTGTGTCACCGGCTTGGTCAGAAATGTGCAATCATTCCTAAACGTCAAAGCAAAGGTTTTAATACATTTCATTGAGACTTTGGATGACTGTTTATATTGACTCTTTGTAAATAGTAAGTTCTATCAAGTTAGTTTTTCTTTGGTAGTTAGAATATACACTAACACCAAAAGTATTCACTCACCTGCCTTTTACCTCATATGATCTTAAGTGACATCCCATTCCTAATCCATATGGTTCAATATTAAAGTAAGATTAAAGTTTGTTTTTTGTTTTTTTCAATCACGTTGGAACCGTGTGCAAAACCCAAACCGCCTTTATTGGAAATGTTTGGTTTTAGAACTGAGGCAGCAGCGCCTCTCCTGACCGCAGAGGGAAAACGGATGGATGGACTTTCAGACGCTCGGTGCAACACTCCCGTCCCTCCCTTCCAACCCCCGTCATGGCGGCTCGCATGATTAAGTGACGTAGTTGCAAAGGGTCAATATGAATAAACATATGATCTGAACATTTAGGCCAGAATCAAACCACCAACAGTTGAACCAACACAGAGACGGAAAACACCCACGCATTTCCAAACATCGTTTTTAACTTCTCCCTTTATTTCCGTAGGACTTTTACCTTGATTTCAAACTGCCGATATCACTTCAGGTCTACTTGAACCCTGGCTGCACAAACGCAGAGACATGCCGAGGCAGCGTGGATCTAGAATCCCACTCTCCTCCAACACATAAACACTTTAACCTTGCTCTAAGTGATTGCTCTCTTCAGCAGATGAGTATTTTCCCTGACAAATCACGGCAGGGCTATTAGGTGCCGGCCGTCTACCAGCACGATGTGAAGGCTTATGTCTCTATAGGAGTGGTGACGAGGCATGACTCACCTTGGGAGAGAAGCAGCCTGCAGAGAGAGAGGGAGAGAAAGCGGCCTGTGATTGTGACACGCGCTGCCTTCAAGTGCTAAACTGGACCTGACACCAGAGCTTGTCAGCTCCCACTGCCAGCCAAAGGCAGAGTTAACTGAGGGGAACTAGCAGACGGGCAGGAGAAGGAAAAACCACCACAAGGCACGTCTCCCTCCATAGAGCTTTGTTATTTTTAATGCAAATGACAGGTTGGTCGTGCTGCAGGGAGAGTCGAGCGCTCGGCAGGAAACTCTGCTCATATCAAACCTGCTTAAATCTCTTCCAGATGGGAGTTTGGCTGAAATTGCACCGTTTATATTTGGAAACTGCATTGCAGTTCTTTCATCGGTACGACGGAGAATCACAGCCAGGCTGAGAAAATGTAAAAATAATCACATTACGAGGAGTAGGTCATACAATTAAAACATTACATTTAGTTTCTGTCATTTTTAACCTTTCATATAAAAGGTTAAAAAAAAGTCATTTGAGATTAAAATTGTAATAATGAAACAGTATTACAATATACAGCATATTTCTTATACTTACCTTATAAGAAATATGGTAAGTCATGAGCATGAAGATGAAATAATACAATAATAAAGTTGAAATATTATTTTTATATTACTTTAATCTTGTAATGTCATGACTTTATTCTCGTAATGGTATGAGAATAAAGTCATAATATTTTGAGAATTACGGTAATACTATAATTTATTCTTGTATTATTTCAAATTATTCTCATAGGACTTAATTCTACTTTATCCTTGTAATTTTATGACTTTCTTCTCATAACTTTAATTTTGTATTTTTGTTAGTGTGAGCCTAATACTCCACTGTACATCACTGCAACAGAAAATATAAGTCAATAATTAACCTGACACAGCATAAAGCCCTAAAACAAGCATGAAAAAAAAAATTATTTTAGCTGTCTAGTCATCAAACAACATTTTCTTAAAGAAAAAGGAAGATGTGAAGTGGAAACATTTAATTTCATCAGCCATTTTACAACCGATCACATCTTCCACCAAACTTCTCACTTCTACATTTTCCTTAGCGTTTTGCTAGCAAATATGTATGTAGAGTCATCAGAGAAAACCTGACGACGCTGTGCAGGTCAAGGTGTGGCACATTGTACGCGTTTGGCTTCACTTTGATTCGGTTTTCTGACCTTACACTGGCCTGTGTTCGTATATATTGCAATGTGTGGTTAAAGAAAGCAGAGGACCTCATTACAAATATATCTCAGACTGTCCAGGTTTGTCCTGCAAGGATGATGGTGAAACTTATTGAAAAAAGAAATGTGTGTATTTCCTGCACAACTGAGCCTCCGCTTGTTAAATTAATAAATTAGTGAGTCATTCATTCAGACAGGCTCAGTGGAAATGACTAACCGAAGTTCAAACTATTCAATCAGAAAAGCAAAGGAAGGGAACTGAAGTGACTTTGTGATGTGGTTAATGATGCCAGACACGCTGCTCTACGTTTCTCACACAAAACCGTTAATTTTTCATATCAGAGGCCAGAAGAGGATTGTCAAATTCATTTGAGTTGATAAAAAGCAAACAGAAATTCAAATGTTACAACCAATGTAACCTGGGTTGGACCCTGAAGTAGCTGAACTACAGCAGCAGGAGACCAAACCATGTCCATTTCCTGCTGGACAAGAACAGAAAACTGAAGCTAAAATTCAGACTTGCCACATATAGTCAATGATTGTTTGGAAACAAACTGCTTGTAGGTAAGATGTATATGCTTTGTCACATAATCACAAAGTAACTGCTAGAGTATGTTGGATTGATATCTGTTTTCTTAAAAAGCAAAAGCTAAAATTATGATAGCTTGTTTTAAATAAAATTGAAAATTAGATTACATAATGCAGGGGTGTTGATAAATTCACTTCATTGTAATTTTTGCCTCAAGAACCGATCTGATTGGACGCTGGAAAAGATTGTGTTGCAGTCATGGGGTCACATGTCTATTTAATCAGTAACCTAGCAGCAACAATGGTTTTTGAATTGAACATGTTTCTTATTTTTGATTGAAATATGACTGTTATTAATTAATCACAGAGCCTGCAATGAACAGAAATACACATTTAAATCAAGTCGTACCACCAGTTTTAGCATTTGTTCTTTTAAACAACGGCTCTGGATTCCCATTTTCCAGATGAAAGCTGCCCTTTCCCTCACAGGAACAGCGAACCGCTGGTATTTGGTTTGGCTAAAACCATCCTGAGGTCCATTAACCTCCTCACCGCTGCCCGTGTTTTCTTTATTGCTCTCATAACTTTGAGCCTATTTCTGGCTCCTACCGCCGAACACAGCAGCAAGTCCACACATTGCCACAGTTTACTGCATCAAACAAACACGTGATTAAAAGTAGTGGAAGAAGAATAAAAGAAAACAGGAACAAATAAGAGTATAAGACAAGGTCAATGTGTATTGGGGAGAAAACATCACGTGCTGAGGCTTATTGTACAGAAGGGAATTGGGGGGGAAAGGAGAAAACAGGAGCACAGGCGAGACTCTAACATCACCAGTTTAGCCATTGTCCTCGGTTCACTGTGCTGTCCCAGACCCTCAATTCCCACAACCCTCACATGCCCTCAGGTAGAAGCTGCTTTATTTACTTACCACAACACAGCACAGGCTCCATGGGAGATGAATCCACAAACCTCCTGTACCTCTAAATTCTCCCCTTTGGGCACAAACAGGAAGCCAGCCCTTAAAACGGCAAAAGGCTGCTTTTATTTCAGAGCTTTACGGCGTATCAGAAGGAGAGTTGAGGAACAGAGAGGCAGTTAATTAGGAAGAGGGGTTATCTGTCTAAGACACTCATGTTGTCTGCGACTGGCAAACCGTCAGCACCACATGCCAGAGAGGCAGCAGCGTGTGTTCCTGCGAGCCTGTGTCCTTGAATTAATAAGGCACTAATCAGCTACACGTTCCTCCGTCCACCGCATAATGACATCCCTCATGGACGCGAACACATATCAGCTCCTGCAAAACATCTGCTGCGTCTCTGCTGCCCGTCATCCTCTCCCTGCCACCCGGCGTAGGGCTTGATGGAAGGAGCTGATGGACATGGCCGGCTGCCCGCCTCCGGGACGAATCAACTGACGCAGGAAGCCGGGAGAAGCTGACAGAGCGATGGAGAGGAAAACTAGGATCGCTGCTCAACGCTAACCCTACCAGGGGGCAAATGGGAAGGCATGTAGGACACAGAGAGTAAAAAAAGTGAGTTTCCACACAGAACAAGATGAAAATACTTAGAAATCAAACTTAAACTTAGATTAAGACTGTTAACTAGATGCTACACCTGATAGTTCACTTCATAGTTCACTTCAACCAGGTCAAAACTAATGGTGCGTTCACACCGAACGCATTTTGTGCGTCAAAAACTCATCCAACGCTTCAAGTTCGACACTTGTGCACTTGGAAGTCAGACGCTGGACATTTTACTCTAGATGCACATCAGACACTTCAGATGCATCAAAACTGCACTAGATGCACATTGAGAGGAGCCGTAGTTTTCTGTTTCCGGTCTGTTTGTACAATGGTGGATGAAATATTGAGATCATCAAACTCAACTCGAATCGGTGCCTCCATCTCCGGGCAGGACCCCAACTACAGCCGCCACTACGTCACATAGTGGAGTCTCTGATTGGTTGATTCTCCTGGTAGAGCAGCAAAAGTTCAGATCTTCTAATTCCAGCATCAGATGCACGTCAAACGCTTCAATCCTGCAGCGCTAGACACGCCGCAAGCTCCCTCGATGCACATCCACATAGACCTTGAATATAAACCAGACACTCCTGACGCTCAAATCACGTTTGGTGTGAACGTAGCATTAGGTTTGTAGGCGGATCAGAGTTTTTGGTCCGGATCAGACCTGCGCTCAGCTTCCCAGAAGAACAAAACTTTCTAAGCAAACAAACTAATTTCCTGTGACTAACTTGTATGGTTTTACTAACCATTGAATTTATGGTCTAAGTGAGATTCCTAATAGATGACAAGAAATCTTGCCATTTATTTGAAAAGCAAGGTCTTAAAAAGTTTGGGGGAAAGCAGAAAAAC